AGTAAAATTACTTGTATGTAAATGTTAGCAGGACTGTGTGTGACTATATTATAAATGCATAGTGTGTGTACATAAAAGTTTATGTGACTATTACACACACTAATAAACAGAATTGAGTAAAGGACAAGCAGGCAGGGGCACTATCATCATTATTAATAGATACTGTGTAAAAACTTGACCAATAATTGCCTACTAGGGATTTTGATCTGCCTTGAAATGATCTGGAGGGAGTGATGTACTGATAACTGGCTGACCTTCGCTCCTACAAAATCCAATAATACACATCAGAATTCACTGTGCTTCTTTACCACTGAACTTGCACTATGTCCATGAAATGTCTACTCAAGTACTAATTTTATTGTCCTCCAAAACTTGCCCAACCAAACAAAATTGCTCCATTGCCATCTGTATGTTAGTCACCAACTGTCTGATATCTTTTCCCATGCTTTTGTAGGAAGATTATTCTTTAACTCCCATGAATGACAGCGAAAGCTGCCTACACGGATTGCTGTCACTGTACTGGAAGGGAAGGCATTTCCTATTTACAGGGAGCTAATGTCATGAAATAAGTTCAGCAAAAAAAGAGAGGGAGAGAAACCAGTTAATTTTTTTTTTCAAATAATCGTATATACTAGGAACAAAATGTTTTCAGAGCTTCTTTCTAAAGTCCTAATGAAACCCCGAGGCCCGGATTCTGATACCCTTACTCACCCTGAGAAGCAAAAATAGACCCATAGACCTAACTGTGACTACTCATGCAATAAGCTGATAATTAGCATGAGTAAGGGTATTAGATTCTGGTCCTTAGGGCTTGGCTACACTTGCAGATGTAGAGCGCTGGGAGTTAAACCGGCCTTCAGAGACTGTAGCAGGGAAAATGTTGCTGTGTTTACACTGTCAGCTGCAAACGCACTGGTGTGGCTACATTAGCAGCTCTTGCAATGCCACAAAGAGCAGTGCATTGTGGTAGCTATCCCAGTGTGCAAGTGGCTGCAGCATGCTTTTCAAATGGGGTGAGCAGTGGAGTATGACAGGGAGCGTGTTGTGTGTATGTGGGGGGAGAGACAGTGTGTTTTGGGGGGCAGAGAGTGTGTCAGCATGCTGTCTTGTAAATTCAGACAGCAGCAGACCCCCCCCACACCTCTCTCTCACACACACACTCTCAGCAGCAGCATTCCACAGTAATGATTGCTTTGTCCTGGAGCAGATAAGCATGCTGGCTGTCAGAAACAGAGCTTTGAAAGGGGATATCTGCATGCCGGCAGCCGAGTTCAAAACAATGACAAGGGTGGCCACTTGACTTCAGGGGATTATGGGACATTTCCAGAGGCCAATCAGAGCGCAGTAATGCAACACGTTGTCCACACTGACACCCGGGCATTTCAGCCGGGGCGCACCAAGCTCTATGCTTCTCGTGGAGGTGGAGTACCAGGGGCTCTCCAATTGCAGAGCCCAGGCACTCTAAGTGCCTTGCCAGTGTGGACGGGTCGGGAGTTAGGGTGCCCAGGGCTGATTTAATGCGCTCTAACTTGCAAGCGTAGCCAAGCCCTTAGGGACTAAAGCAGATGTGGGGCTGGGAATCAAACAGGGAGAGGGGCAGATGGTAATGGAGCAAAAGAGGAGAGCAAATATTTAAGGAGGAAAAAAACAAGTGCAGAAGCAATGTTACTTCTGGTGAGAGTTTGTGCAGGTCATTAGAGCCGACTTACATTGGGTATGATTTCTGCAACGAAAGAGGGAAGGGGAGGGAACCAGAGCAGGATGTTACGCAGTGAGGTTCAGAGGTGACTAATAAAACTTATTTTAGTTTTCACAATCTTTTTTTTAAAAGGCTTTGTTTTTGTTGACTTAAAATCAACTATAAATGAAGTGAACGTAGCACAGAGAGAGTGGGAGCCAGCTGGCCTGCTCTTAAAGAATAGAATGTTACTTAGTTTTCTCGGGGTGGCCTCCCTTGAAGAGGGGCACACTCATGCCATCAGAGGAAAGCTCAGCAAAGGCATTTGACTTTTCACAGGACTGAAGGAACACTTTGCATTGCCGGGTGAGGACTATCCACTTGAGAAATGTTCTATTAGAACATCACTAACCGATGGGAGAATCTTTGCAAGTGACTGATTGAATTTTGAAAACATTTAGATGACCTAATGTTAGGTGGAAAAGGCAACTGTTACTTCTTGAAAATATTCTTTGGCTTCCTGAGGAGGATCAGCTTCAACAGTCCCTGCATTTTTGTGTTGCATACACTATATTACTAAGAGCTTGTCCACACTTACTGCGCTGCAGCGGTGCAGCTGCACCATCTGTAGCACTTAGTGAAGATGCTACCTAGAGCTTCTCCCATCGGCGTAGGTACTCCACCTTCCCAAGAGGCGGTAGCTATGTCAGTGGGAGAAGCCGTCCCATCAACATAGCGCTGTCTGCCCAGGGAATTCAGTCAGTGTAACCCCGTCGCTCAGAGGTGTGGATTTTCCAGCACCCTGGAGCGGCATAGTTATACCAACATAAATTTGTAGTGTAGACTGGGGCTAAGAGGCAGACTGCAAATTGCAGCAGACCTTTGGGTTTCAGACTGACTGAGATGTATGTTAGGGCTTGTCTATATTACCAGCTGGATTGACGGGCAGCGATCGATCCAGCGGGGGTTGATTTATCACATCTAGTCTAGACGCGATAAATCGACCACTTAGCACCCTCCTGTCAACTCTGGTACTCCACCAGGGTGACGCGCAGACGGAGTCGACGGGGGAGTGTCAGCCATCGACTTATCGCAGTGAAGACACTGCAGTAAGCAGATCGAAGTATGTCGACTTCAGCTACGTTATTCATGTAGCCGAAGTTGCGTAACTTAGATCGCTATCCCCCCTTCCCAAGTGTAGACCAGACCTTGAGCAGGGGGTTGGACTAGATGACCTCCTGACGTCCCTTCCAACCCTGATATTCTATGATGCTATGACCTAAATGTGGTTTCACTGTACTTTCACAATTGTATCCAATTTGCAAATGAATTCCAATTCAGCAGTCTCTCGCTGGCGTCTGGATTTGAAGTTTTTTTGTTGTAATATCGCAACTTTCGTGTCTGTAATCGCGTGACCAGAGAGATTGAAGTGTTCTCCGACTGGTTTATGAATGTTATAATTCTTGACATCTGATTTGTGTCCATTTATTCTTTTACGTAGAGACTGTCCAGTTTGACCAAAGTACATGGCAGAGGGGCATTGCTGGCACATGATGGCATATATCACATTGGTGGATGTGCAGGTGAACGAGCCTCTGATAAAAGAAAAGGAGTACTTGTGGCACCTTAGAGACTAACCAATTTATTTGAGCATGAGCTTTCGTGAGCTACAGCTCACTTCATCAGATGTATAGTGTGGCTGATGTTATTAGGCCCTGTGATGGTGTCCTCTGAATAGATATGTGGGCACAGTTGGCAACGGGCTTTGTTGCAAGGATAGGTTCCTGGGTTAGTGGTTCTGTTGTGTGGTATGTGGTTGCTGGTGAGTATTTGCTTCAGGTTGGGGGGCTGTCTGTAGGCAAGGACTGGCCTGTCTCCCAAGATTTGTGAGAGTGTTGGGTCATCCTTCAGGATAGGTTGTAGATCCTTAATAATGTGTTGGAGGGGTTTAGATAGATAAGCTAATAGATAAGCTATTACCAACAGGAGAGTGGGTTTGTGTGTGTGGGGGGGGGGGGGGGGAGAGAAAACCTGGCTTTGTGCTGGAAATGGCCCAACTTGATTATCATACACATTGTAAGGAGAGTGATCACTTTAGATAAGCTATTACCAGCAGGAGATTGGGGTGGGGGGAGGTATTTTTTCATGCTTTGTGTGTATAAAAAGGTCTTCTACACTTTCCAAAGTATGCATCCGACGAAGTGAACTGTAGCTCACGAAAGCTAATGCTCAAATAAATTGGTTAGTCTCTAAGGTGCCACAAGTACTCCTTTTCTTTTTGCAAGTACTGTACTGAATACAAACTCCCATGAAAATTCACAATGCCAACAACTTATCGTCTTACATAACTCCTAAAGCCTGCCTTTGTCGTGATGTGTACAAATCACTCACACTAGCTAAAATAACAAACACTGCTGACTACTTTGATCTCTGTGACTTACATAGTTTATGCAACTGCACCTGAGCTATTTTGGGCACAGGCCATCTTTATTACTTGCTTAGTATAATGGGACCCTAACCTCTCATTGAGGTCCTTAGATGTTACTGCAATAGCAACAATAAATAATAATTCAGCAAGTCAGTTGTCTGTCAGCAGCTTGAGATTTTCTTGGATTAATTTGTTTTTCAATATTTGCTGGATAATTTCAGCAGTTGACTCTTACTCTGTGAATTGGACACAAGCAGATCATTAGGAACACTCTGCATCTGAACCTTTAAAGTGTGTTTAGTGATGTGACTAATAGATTGGTTTGTTACAGTTTCTCTTCCCAGACTGGCTAAATAACGTGCAGCATCAAGTGTTCAGTGTGAGTATTCACGTTTGAGTCCAGCATTCACTTTCTGCAAACTAATGTAAGCTTCACATTTGCAGCAAAGTTGATGCCAAAATCTCATTCAATACAATGCTCAAGAAAAGTGGGTACAAAGTGCATGCCATTTAGTTAATTGAGCAAATAGTGTAGATAACGTTTAGCTTCAGATGAGAGCTACCTTTGTTCTCACCGGTATGCTTTTAGTGGCTTGATTTGTTTTCCTCTTCTACAATTAGTTTTTAAGCAGTCACTTTTCACACTCCCTCCAGCCCCCAATTCAAAACTAAAGCAAATGGCATTTACAAGACATTGGAAATTGTAATGTTGGGGTTTTTTTAATCTCCCCCAGCACATTGCCACCTACAACAGAAACAACTTTCACTTCTCACTCCCTGTTTTCTAGACACACACCACTCCTGAAGCCAGTGTAAAAAGATCAATCTAAGCTCCTGTCTCGCATGCAGCACCGATAGTTTTTCCCCCCCTCATATTGAAAAGAACCAACTTACGTGTCTCTGGAATTTCTTGATACTTTGCTTAAGAGGGCTGAAAATTGAATGCAGTACTGCAACCAACTCCCTGCGTTAAATGAGGAAGTGCTGATACAAGTCAGGATGTTTGCGGGAATGACTCACATATGTAGCATAGGTTTCAGAGTAACAGCCGTGTTAGTCTCTATTCGCAAAAAGAACAGGAGTACTTGTGGCACTTTAGAGACTAACTAATTTATTTGAGCATAAGCTTTCGTGAGCTGTAGCTCAGGAAAGCTTATGCTCAAATAAATTGGTTAGTCTCTAAGATACGTAGCATAGTGGGTCTTGTGGAATGAAAGGAATAATCACACTAACTACAGCTTGCTTCACTGGAAGTTAGTGGTGAAGTACCACCTAATAATAAATGCTCAGCAACATTTGATCTTCCATCTTATCACCTTCCTGTTTGGCTAAACATTATGCTGTAAATGTCACAGAGCATACGTACTGATCCAAAATCCTACAGTGATTTATGTGAAAATATTTAGAGGATTTTTAAAACATGGGTTAGCTATAAACTGCAAAGGCTAGTTATTGCACAGGCCTTTTTTGGTCTTTTAGCAGTATTATCTTTTAAATATGGGAGTTGGAGTGAGGAAGTGGAACAAAGCGAATGGATGAGGATAAGAGCGGAACAAGCTATTACTGGGAGGTATTTAATAATGTGTCCCAATGACTTTCTTAAACTGCCAATTGCCATGTAATGTTCAGGTATCTCAGTCCTTTTCAGAATTAGAATACAGTAGAACCTTAGAGTTCTGAACACCTCGGGAATGGAGGGTGTTTGTAACTCTGAACAAAACGTTATAGTGGTTCTTTCAAAGGTTTACAACTGAACATTGACTTAATGCAGCTTTGCAACTTTACTATGCAGAGAAAAATGCTGCTTTTAACCATCTTAATTTAAATAAAACAAGCACAGAAACAGTTTTCTTACCTGGTCAAATCTTTTTTTTTTTTTAAGCTTTCCCTTTATATTTTTAGTAGTTTGTTTAACACAGTACTGTACTGTGTTTGCCTTTTATTTTTGGTCTCTGCTGCTGCCTGATTGTGTACTTCTGGTTCCACATGAAGTGTATGGTTGACCCGTCAGTTTGTAACTCTGATGTTCTGCTGTACCCATGCTCTCTTACAATAAAATCAGACCCCATTTTGTTAAATCTACCATCTGACCGATAGGAAGCACTTTTCCCCATGAATACACTGCATGAAAACATTAATGAACTACTTTTAACATTTCTGAAAGAATTACTGCCCCTTTGCTTGAGTGTTTTAGCTAATATACAGGACCTTGTCTGTGATATCTGTTCGGAGGAGAAATTGATGCTGAAGGAATTTCTCTGGGGCAGTTCTGTTTATTTACAAAGCATGTACGATGTCTTGTTTCATGAAAACAAATAAGAGGCAATTTCTTTGTCATCATTTCCAAGCCTGCCTTTCTGGCCAGTACTCTGCCCAAAAGAAACTCTCTTGGCTTCCTCTCGAAGCCACATTCACACACTCTCTCTCTCATTGTCTGCTCACTTTCTGGTTCCTTTCTGCTTCTGACAAAAACAGCTCCACTCAATCAATCAATGCCCCAACCCCTACATTTTCAGTCATTCCAAGGGAAAAAACCTTTTCTTATCCCTGAGTTTGAGCTTTCTTAGGCCTTCCCATGTGGCTCAGTGCCTTGGGTGGTGGCTTCTATTGTCTCCCCCTTTCCCACCTCCAGGCTGGGGCTGGAGGTTGATTCCATCATCCATCCATACCTCATTCACACATCTAAACTAAACTAATAAGATTACAGCAGGGTTTTGCAAAAATGAAGGTTGCAGCAAGCTTTTACAAAATGAAGTGAGCATTTTAAAATGGAGTTTGGGACAAGTAAAAATGGATTTTGAGTTACAATATGGACAAGTGTAGGGAATGGCAAACAGTGAACAGAAGTTACAATGTTGAAACAGTGTAAGTTTCAGCGATTTAAGCCGCAATTGGATTGAAAGTGAAACTCAATTAGCCAGTTATTGGGGTACCTGGTTTTATGAATTAATGTAGTTTCATTCATAAAACTTTACTTATGAAGTTATATTAATAAAGTGAACAATTAAAAACAATTTAATCAATCAGTTCTACAGATGTGCAGCACACCCCTCCCCTCACTCCACCGGGTGGTTATTCTCAGGGATGATCCCTTCACCCCTCCCTCCATCGCGTGGCTATTCTCAGGGATGATCCCTTTTAGCCAAGCACAAACAGCCAGGCATGAACAGGGTCCTTTTACTGTTCCCTTACAAAAATTCCCCTGTTTCAACCAGGTGACCATGAATGATATCACTCTCCTGAGGCTAACACAGAAAGATAAATCATAGAATCATAGAATATAAGGGTTGGAAGGGACCCCAGAAGGTCATCTAGTCCAACCCCCTGCTCGAAGCAGGACCAATTCCCAGTTAAATCATCCCAGCCAGGGCTTTGTCAAGCCTGACCTTAAAAACCTCTAAGGAAGGAGATTCTACCACCTCCCTAGGTAACACATTCCAGTGTTTCACCACCCTCTTAGTGAAAAAGTTTTTCCTAATATCCAATCTAAACCTCCCCCACTGCAGCTTGAGACCATTACTCCTCGTTCTGTCATCTGATACCATTGAGAACAGTCTAGAGCCATCCTCTTTGGAACCCCCTTTCAGGTAGTTGAAAGCAGCTATCAAATCCCCCTCATTTTTCTCTTCTCAGGCTAAACAATCCCAGCTCCCTCAGCCTCTCCTCATAACTCATGTGTTCCAGACCCCTAATCATTTTTGTTGCCCTTCGCTGGACTCTCTCCAATTTATCCACATCCTTCTTGAAGTGTGGGCCCAAAACTGGACACAGTACTCCAGATGAGGCCTCACCAATGTCGAATAGAGGGGAACGATCACGTCCCTCGATCTGCTCGCTATCCCCTACTTATACATCCCAAATCCATTGCTTTCTTGGCAACAAGGGCACACTGCTGACTCATATCCAGCTTCTGTCCACTGTCACCCCTAGGTCCTTTTCCGCAGAACTGCTGCCTAGTCATTCAGTCCCTAGTCTGTAGTGTGCATTGTTCTTCCGTCCTAAGTGCAGGACCCTGCACTTATCCTTATTGAACCTCATCAGATTTCTTTGCCCAATCCTCCAATTTGTCTAGGTCCTTCTGTATCCTATCCCTCCCCTCCAGGTATCTACCACTCCTCCCAGTTTAGTATCATCCGCAAATTTCTGAGAGGCAATCCACACCATCCTCCAGATCATTTTGAAGATATTGAACAAACCCCCCAGGACCGACCCTTGGGGCACTCCACTTGATACCGCTGCCAACTAGACATGGAGCCATTGATAACTACCCGTTGAGCCCGACAATCTAGCCAGCTTTCTACCCACCTTGTAGTGCATTCATCCAGCCCATACTTCCTTAACTTGCTGACAAGAATATTGTGGAGACCATGTCAAAGCTTTGCTAAAGTCAAGAAACAATACATCCACTCTTTCCCTTCATCCACAGAACCAGTAATCTCATCATAGAAGCGATTAGATTAGTCAGGCATGACCTTCCCTTGGTGAATCCATGTGGCTGTTCCTGATCACTTTCCTCTCATGCAAGTGCTTCAGGATTGATTCTTTGAGGATGCTCCATGATTTTTCCAGGACTGAGGAGGTGACTGCGAGTTCCCAGGATCCTCCTTCTTCCCTTTTTAAAGATTGCACTACATTACCTTTTTCCAGTCATCCGGGACTTCCCGGTTCGCCACGAGTTTTCAAAGATAATGCCAATCTCTCAATCACACCCCAGTTCCTTCAGCACTCGGATGCAACTCCGCCCCTGGACTTGTCACGTCCAGCTTTTCTAAATAGTCCCTAACCACCTCTATCTCCACAGAGGGCTGTCCATCTCTTCCCCAAAGACTGAATGTTGCTTGAATGCAACCAAAACCCAGGACCATTCACTGCCATGCTTTGTGCTGCAATGATTCTAGACTACTTGCTACTGGCTTGGCACGGTAAAGTGTCCTACCGTGGAGGACGAAATAAGGCAGCCCTCCCCAGAAACCTTCTGCAAAGACTTTCCCACCTCACACTTCCTTTGGAGTTAGTGGGAGTGCCCGGATGACAGAAGATCCAGTCCTTAAAGGATACAGTCCAAAGACCAGAGTGACCTCAGAATCAGTGTGTAGCTTTTATATATGTTGGGAAAACCACTCTATCAAACATGTGGACAGAGCTTTCCAGCTGAACTCATTAGAATTTTGATTACACACTATGACCAATAAAGAGCTAGAAATATGACTGTACCTTTGTGACTGCTGAGTAGGGTGAAAATTGCTAAAAAGAACATGGGATTATTATAGATTCCACCTCTTTCTCCCCCTCCCTTTTAAGACTTACAGATAGGTGAGCCAAAACAATCAGGTTCTTTATATGGGGAAAGAAACAATCCTACTTCATAAGGCTGTGTGAGGGAATGACCTTACCAGATCTATAGGTCTACCACTTGGCTTGCCATACTTAACTTCTCTGAAATGGTTTGCTTTTGCTAAAGCTAGTTCTGCCTCAGTCTGGATAAGGATAGAGAGGTTATTTATCTCAGCATGTTGACCACTATGTGCACTTCTCCACTTAATATAGCTGCCAACTTGTCTGCATCAGAACCCAGCTTTCACCGCAGCCTTAGGTTGCTCTAGCATATTGGGACTATGACCAATTGCAATTCACCCCTTTCACCTCCGTGATGGCACAAGTTGCACTTTCCATTGAACTAGAAGAAGAAGAAGGAGGGGGAAAGGTTTAGAGAGTGTAAAACAACAAGAAGATGGCAACCATCACACACCTGTATAGTAACAAAGTCCATTGTTATGCAGGTCAATGTATAGGCAGTCAGGGCAAGCTTCTTCACACAACACAAATAGGGAGGCAATGGTCAACAGCAACATTTTCCTCAATAGAAAATTACTGCTGAAACTTGGCAATGGGACTTGATTGGGAGGGAACCCCCATCCACATGGCTAAGGCCTATTGACCTAAAGGCGTAAGGGAAAATAGCAAAAACTCAAGAGTAGTATTTCAGCTATTATGTG